AACAGCAAGTAATTTCTGTCTGTTTTGCTCAAAAATCTGAGCAGTTACAACCAGGACTTAACGTCACCAGTAACCGTTAGCGCTTTAAACCACGGTGTTGATCAGGAACTTCAATTTGTAAGATTGTGCATATTCTTAATTGTTAAAAAAGATTATACTGCAAAGGTTTTTGAAGCTTTTAAAAAATTTGACAGGAATTTACAGGAAGTGTTTGTTTCATTTTAAATGACATTCATGATTTTTAAGATAATAAGATATGTTTTTAAGCTTCAAGACATCCAGGATATTTAATTTTTAAGATTATATATTTCCCTAATTATTAAATAAATCAGTGCTGCAAATCGTTTTGGAGGCTTTTCTGAAATTAAAAACAAAAGTTCTGTTAGAAAAGAAATAAAGTTTGAAAACAAAAGCCAATATAATCCATTATCAAAAAATGTCACAGGCCTACAATCAAAACGGCTATTTTCTCAAAATTTTTACTTTTTTTTCTTACATCTTTCCTTTGGATAGGTACTGTAATTACAGTACTGGCAACAACGTGAATGAAAAACGGTTGGAAAAAAAACTCACGCAGGAAATTCTGGTATTGAGGCTTTGTACTGTGGCAAATCAGCAACATATTTGAAGTAGAAACCTTTCACTTTGAAATATAAGTTCATATATTCCGGCGTCGAACATCTCTTAGTTTGTGAATGCTCTAAAAACTATCCAAGCATGACATATCTCTTAGCGGCCTCACTAATCTCCCGCGGGAAAGTCATGTCAGAAAATATTATCAGTTATTTAATATTAAAGAAGTCCGCCTGAGGGATGGTACATTGTGCGTCCCCCGAATAAATGCACTGTAAATAAAAGCTTTGTTACGCATCAGAAACTCTCGCCATTATGAATTTTAAATATGCTGGTGATTAAAAATCAAATCCGCTTCTGACCCACTTAGGAGTAGCAAGTTTTTTTCTTTTTTTTTGCAACAACTTAAAGTTTGACTTGAGGCCATAAGTCAGGACATACGAGCAAAACAGATTTCGGATCTATCACTGCAATAAACTAAATCACCAAAATTATATTTTCATAGCGAACGAACATTCCCACTTTAAAACCTTGCTTCCGGTTCAAAGAGGTTGGAAGAGAAAACGGTGTAAAAACTGAGTTTAGCCTTTGCTCGTACGTGAGCTGAAGATTGTATGCCTCCAAAATTTCAGCAACTTAGCTTCCAAAAAGAGAAAAGCTGAACTATCCAGACACGCGCACACAAACGCACGCTCAGATAAAAAGCATGTATACACAAGTACACACAGACACAGAATTTCTTCACAGGGTGTGTTTTATTAGTGCAGAAATTTTGGAATACTTTTGAATGCCTCCAATTTTCTAAACAAGGCAAAAATGTATAAAGATATGATTAAATCTAGTTAGTAGACCATGCATAAATCAAGAGCAGTAAAGATAAGGTAAAGCAACGTAGCGCTCCAGTAAGCTTTTTTTTTTCTTGATATTACTAAATATATCTAAAGAAAATTTTTTTTTTTAAAACCTGAAAAGTGGAAAGAATCAGATCCCGAAAATGCTTAATTAGCGATAATTTTTTTCGATAAAATCCAGAAAATTTGGCGTTGAAATGAGCGAACCTTCCAAAGCCATCTGCAGGTCGGTTTTGTAAAGCTGCCAGAGTGTGGCTGCAGACAAATTGCCAACATTCAGTTCCTGCGGAAACTGATTCAAAACAGGTGTGTAGATGTTCTTATCGTCTTCGATGACTCGCATCATGTAGTCCAGAAAGTCGAACCAGAATTTTACGCTATCTGCAGACGGCCCACCATCTTCACAGCAGCTCTCAAACATTAGTTGGTAGGTGGCCTAAAAAAAGTGATTTACTTCATGAAACTTGCTGAAAAAATATCGCCTTTTCCTAAAATACAAGATTTTTAGGACTGTTTGGCTGTTATCCGTAAATTTAGCAGACCTAGGAGTTGACGGTGTTGGAAATAGATAAACTAAAAATCTGGTAAATTTGAGATAACATTTACAAATATATACAAATCAGTAAATGCTTTAAGCTTCAGACAGTCCACTGACCAAATTTTATTGTATCAGAAATGACCAAACAATATAAACATTCTCTGTTGACTTGAAGTGCACTCTGTCACTTTGGGAAAAGAATAATTAATATTAAAGCCTTGGAGCAAGAACCTGCATGCAAGCCTTGGCGCATTCACGAACAACATTGGAAGCACGAGGTGGGCTGGCCAATTCCAGAACCTTCATCCGAAAGAACGTTATCGACGTGAGCAAATCAACAGTCGACTTTAGGTCAGCTAATTTCGCGCGCGAAGATGACGGAAAATACTTCTGCAAATAATACACAACTGATTAATTCTCATGGCTTAACACTATCAAAAAGAAAACCGAAGAAAAATCAACATATTTTTAAGCGCGCTCTAACCAAGTAAAACTCTGTGCTTCTTATTGTAAAGTTACCATGACCTTAGTATGATCATCAGAAAGTTGGTTAAACGTGCTCTTCTTATGACCTGAGTAACAGCTGTGAAAATTCGAGATCAGTTCGTAGCATCTACGTTAGGCCTGGATGCATTAAGAAGCAGAGAATAAGCGGAGAAGAAGGGAAATAATTGGCCAACACACGGGCTGCCCGTGCGAAGATGCGTTTTTTGCATTGTTCCCCGCAGTTTTTGCCGATACCGGTATCGGTTTTTTCGGCAAGTGCTTCTAGCTAAACAAATTAAGACTGGTCATCAGAACGGTCAGAAAACACTCCCTTAAAATTTTAGCTTTCTAACTTTCCTCGCTTCCGAGTTAGCAACTTACACGAAAAAAACTTTCACGGGCCCGTACGGGGATAACATGCATATCCGCAGACTGGTTTTGAACTCATTAAGACCTACGTGGACGGGGAACGTCCCCTTAAAATTCCTGCTTTCCAGCTTCTCTGGTTCACGAATTAGCAGCTTACTCGTAAAAAACTTCGGCGGGCTCGTACGTGGGTATCCGGGCGCTGGGCGTCAGTTCACTAATATCTTCTTAGACGATGAAAATCTCCTTAAAATTCCAGTCTTCTAGCTTCTCAGGTTCCTGAATTAGCAACTTACCCGAAAAGAACTTTGGCGGACCCGTACGTGGTTACCACGCGTACTCAAGGGCTGGTTTTGAACTCATTAATGCCTATTTGGAGGGGCAACCATCCCCTTAAAATTTCAGCCTTCTAGCTTCTCAGGTTCCCGAGTTAGCAACTTTGCCGAAAAAACTTTGGCGAGCCCGTACGTGGATACCACGAGGGTAAGAGCGCCTATTTCGGAGATGAGGGACCGTACACCCATGTAGATTAAGATCCCCAAATTTCAGCCCTGTAGCTTTTGTGGGTCTAGAGATGAAAAATCGGTACAGAGCATAGCGCACACACAGACACACAAACAGACAACCTTTCGTCAATATGCGATTTCTGCACTGCATGGCTGTAAAAAATACGGCCCATAATAAGGACAGAAGGAGAAATTGAGATAAGAAGTTTCGATTCTTCAAGTCATATACGCTTAAACCTAAACACTGCAACAGAACCTTGCCAGTATGGCGGTTGCAGCGCTGAGATTTTAAATAAACTGGCTCATATGTAGAATAAATGCTCCAGGTCTTTGTAGTGAAGCAGAGCTATAAAAAAAAGTAATAATCAGCACGTCATGATTAAAAGGATCCAGAGTTAGTGAAAAAATGTGCACTGATGCGAATTGATCTCGCCAAGTTCACATAAGTCAGAACAAATTTGCTTCTAAAGATTTCTAGTAGGGCTGGTTTTTATCTAAATAAGGGCACAGTATTTATGGTTCCTGTCTTCCAGCTGACTAAGATTCGATAGGAAAAAAAAACATCACATGTGAGCATTCTAAATGAGGTAAGAGCATGCTCATCGAAGAAGTTAGTGAGGCCGGCGGTTTTGAGCTGAGAACTATATTCCTCTGACAGCTTCATCCGTCCTTTTGCGCGAAAGCTCTTTAAATTCTACTGCGGATGTGCAATAAACATTTGCAGTAATTCCAGGAGACATATAAACTTCCATTAACATAATTAGCGGAGTATTTCTGCAGTGAAACCGAGAAATGGAACGTAACCATGGAGAGCGACGACGAGACATTTGGATGTAATGCTTATCGGCTGGTTTGCTCGGTAAGCCAGTCCATCTTGCAACACCACATTAAACACTTTATAGCGTGTTCTGCTCTTTCATAGTGATTTGCTCTTTGCAATTCATTTGGAAAATGAGAACAAA